ATTTTACGAATGCCACAGCTGATTGCCCTAAGAAAGTAAGCGCCAGCGAGCTACGCTATGTTTCACTTCAGTAGGCTCTGCAGATACCAATGCTAACTACTTACATAAAAAATTAGACTGTTTAAGTAAAAATTTAGGTAAAGTCAAGGTAACTCCACTACTCCACCAATAATAAAATTAATAGAGTTCAATTATCGCATTTAAAACGTATGGTAGGTACGCAACGAAGGTAGTATAGATAATCCAAAATAGTACATTGATATAATAATTTGAGCTAAAATATGTTTGACTTCTTTTAGCATTAATACAATGAAAAGACCTCAAAAAAGGAAAAATTTAATAAAAACAGAATGATCAACGTCATATGTTCAAGATGGTTGGGTACCTTTTTCGTATTCCTTACTACGTTTTGTGTAGTCAACTATCAGCAAATAAGATGAAGAATCAAGCATTTTCAAGAATCTACCAACACTGTTATTCCTAATAAATAAACTAGTAGCCCTTTATTTGCAACTCAGTGTGGTGCTGATAGTACCTAAAGAATAACAACGTAATATTTGATGTAAAAAAGACTTCGGGTAAAACGCTATCGCTTTTAACAAAGGCAGTAGATTTTTTAGGAGTACAGTTTAATTACTTACGAAGGTATAATAATTATTATTATCTACGTCACTAAACAAAAAATATATTCCGCAAGGAATAATTTAATTACCTACAGTTTTACCAAAATGCTTATGGTAATATTCCAAACAACCTACCTACTTATTACAAAAGATTAGAGTTCAATGTGTGGTTTTCTACTTTCCCTAGGAGAATCAGATATTTTCCGAGGTAAAATGAGCCTATGTCACACTTTTACCAGAGCATTTTTGTGCGATGTGATACATTTACAAAACTAGGTAGTTATGGTAGCTAATACTTGAAGAATTGATAATGATTTTTATATTACCTCATTGTAAGACCATCTTAGAAAACATTGTAGGATGACTGTACTCTTAAAAAATTGCTACTTCAAAAGAGGATCCGAAAAGGGATCAAAGTCATTTCAATAAATTACACTTTAGAAGTACAGTTCGAAGCTTATTGCGTAGGCTATGGCCGCCTACTAGGGTTTATACCTATTAAGGGTTTCAACTCGCAGTATCAACAAGTTTTACAAAAACCCTAGTATTTCATGTATTTTAATGATTTAGCCTAGGCCAGACCTCTATGAGTAGGTTATCAGCAATAATATACCAATTACAACATACCTACCAATGATAGAGGTGAAGTTACTTATTTAAAAAATGTTATAGGTGTCGATAACCCAAATAACTTCCTCTTATTTGAAACGGTACGGTCAAAGAAGGAGGCCGCAAACAAAACGGACATTTGGTATCTTGTACCTCCGGTATTGTGTTGCTTGCCTCTTGCTTTGAAATACGGAGAAAAAAACTGTGAGAATTCACATTAGGTTTGTAAATTTTTTTTTTCACTGAAATCATTTAACCCTTAAGTGCATACAGTATCAAAAATTATACCAGGTATTTAAATTTAATTTTTATTAAATATATAATTCCAATAAATCACAAAAAATAAAAATAAGCTCTTGACATATTACATAACAAATAAAAAAAATTTGCTGTGTGAATTTAGGAAGAATTTACAAAAAAAATTTTTTTTATAATTTTACCAGATTTGCCAAAAAACGGCATACATTATCAAAGTTGACTTTTTCTGTTAAAATTGCCAATAATTCACCAATCCAGATAGAAACTTAAAATAAAAAAGAATATGTCAAATCTAAAACATACCAATTTTTTTGTATCTATTCATAATATTATTATAAAAAAATATCAAAACCGCGATTTCTAGGATAAAAGTAGAAAAAAATTAAAATGAAGCAAAAAAAATTTTATATTATTCGGGAAATCATGCATTTAAGGGTTAAGTAACAAAAACAAAATACCTAGTACCTATTATAACTACATCGTTTTCCCAGTACCAAAATTTTCGTGTTGGAGATGTCTTATTTGAGACCACTTTATGTAGGTATGGTTAACACTGATTTGACATCTGTCGTCACACCCGAGGTCTTATCGTATTTTTGATGAACGTATAGTTATTTGACTATAAAATGGCACATAATATGACATTGCTGGCGATTCCGTTTTTTTTGACATCTCTTTTCTAGTAGATAAACACAATGGAATACACCCTAATGTCTAGGGCTTTACCGAAAAATATTAGACGCATTAAACGCTTTTTTGAAAAAATTTCATACTTGTAAAAGGAAGAGAGACCGTGCGCATAACTTTTTATGGTAAGGCCCATAGACTTTGTCTTTAAATTAATATTAGAAATATTGATGTTAGTTAAAAATTTTATAGTATTGTACGGGTTTGTATTTTCTTAGCTTTCATTTATTTTATCAAAATTACGGTGTTAGTATAACAAATAATACGTAGTATATAGCGACATCTCAAGGCAAGCGGTGGAACTACGTCAAAACTACGGACACTCTCAAACATGGGACGCCTTACGCGCTGGTGGAAACAACCGAACAGAACCCCTGTGAAGTGCAAGTTGCCACGAGAGGCAGGTTTACGCATGGTTCGTTTACGCAGGTAAAACTAACCCTCCAAAAACATTCACTTGTAAAAAGAACCTAGTCTTGCCTCTCAGTTCTACTGCTGTAAAAAGTTGTGCGATCCATGACGTGATGCCAAATCGGTTATTGATTTATTCAAGGACTACTTCAGGGAACGTTTATCTTAAGCTTTTGCGTAATTAGGTAACAGACATTATTTTATAGTAACCATATCGATATTTAAAAACTTTTATATTTACAATAACTGGAATGACCCGGCCATCGCAACAGACCATCGTATCTCACAAGCAAATAGTGTGCGATTGTTAAGACATTCTAGTGGCGCTTTCTGCTTGACTTGGTGGGTGCACTGCCATGCCCCCAGATCTTATTAATAATTGTGACATATCAAATGGTGACTTTTGCTTTGGAAGTAGAGGCACATCTAATAGTAGAACCCGTACTCAGGTTCAATCAGACGATGTAGATATTCACGATAATAATTTTTATAAAAGGTTGTTAGGGCCAAAAGAACAAAGGACCGCAAAAAAGATATTTTAATAAATCCTATTAACTTACTTCATTTTTTAAAATATTGATTTATAATATTTTTTCAGAAGTTATGTTTCTTTAGTTTAGTTTATTACTACGGAGACGGAGGCTTACTTTTTTATATTACGTTTCAATTCGTTAGTATAACTTAAAAAGTAAGATCATTAATCTAAATGATCTTAGCAACGTTTTATTGTCCTAAAATATTGGATTCCATAAGGAACATAGGTACTCCACAAATTGCAAATTCACTTTATTTCCTTTAAAAAATGGAGGCCTTAATATAGGCACATATAGGCATGATTTAATTATGGCCGAAAGCAAGGGTTAATCTATTATTGCTTAATATTTATTTCATTTATTCATTTGTACCTACATTGACTCTTGAGTGATGTAGTTGGTTAAATTGGTACGATGGTACGTCATTTTGCATATTACCTATTTAATCGAAATATTTATCCACGGGCATCTTCTCGGAACCTATACTCAATTTGAAATTTAAACCACAAAAGCTTAATTTATAATTCGAACATATGCCACGTGAAATTTTGCCGATAATCGCCTCCTAATTCGATACGATTCAAATTTAAATCAAGAATTTAGGCACATTTTTTCGGTCGAGCCATGAACGCTGGCGCCGCTAACGTTTGACTTCGAGAAAACTGTCAATCAAACTTTGCTGCATATTATTATTTAGGGTATTGTAATCACAAAAAGATCTCCGAAATTCGAATTTCGACATCGACAGGTCGGTTCTTTTTTACAAATACCTAATTGAGTTTTGTCTTGCGGCTGTGTAATTGTCCCGAGCTAGGCGGGCGACGTAAAAAACGCACTTATTATTCGTTACTCTTTTTTTTAAATTGGTATTATCCCTAATCTTCTATTGACACGGTAATGAGAGGCCAAAATATTGTACGGTTGGGATTATACCAAAAAAGCTGTGGAGCCTTCAAAAACCATTGTTTAAAATACATTTTAGTCTTTGGATTTTGAACTTGTTAACTCTGATCGTGTTTCAATTCCAGTCGGTGGAAAAATCGATGCTAAGTGAGACCCAGCATTAGTTAGGTACCTACTTAGTTTTAAAATATAATACTGGTTTTAAAAAATAATTTTACTTTATGTAAACACAAAGACATATTTGATAAGCATATTGTGATTATGATCTGTCAAATGCACTGCTATCGTAATAATTTGACGTTATCAGCGTAGAAGGCAGTGTAGGTGAAATGTGACATGTTATCGAAGGTAGGCCAAAGCCACAAAATGCGAGATTTGGAATTTTTTGAAGGGAAGCCGATGGAAGTCTGCATTATATATGGACGCTTCTCCACTGAACGACTCATTTGGTTTTGATCCGCCATTCATGGTCCATTTATATTAAAACCACATATGAGTCCAGTGTGGTTTTGAATCGCTGACAGCAGGATTGTTATTTCTGTCAACCACCTACCTATTTACAAACTCAAAAATTTTATATTTATTTCTACTCTTTATAGCTATTCAAATCTAGAGAAAATAACTAGCAGTAGAGTTAGAAAAGACTGTCAGCCGATGGTTGGCTCGGTGCTCAATATGCTATAAAATGAATGAAAGAGAATGCATCCTTCTGCTTCTTTTCAAGTAAGATACCGAGTCGTCCAACGACCTGATGAACCCTGGTATTAGAGGTTTTCAACCGCCTACTACAAGTAGCATACCTCTGACTTGGTTGGGTATTGCCGTTTAATAATCATAAACAACCGGGACCGCCGGCTTAATGTGCCCTATGAAGTAAGGATCCATTTTGCTATCGAAAAATCAGATGGTTCAGCCTGCAATGTCCTAACCAGACTGGAAACTAATTCACAAAGTGATAAATATCAACATTGTTAAGTGACGCACTGGGAATCGATCCCAGAACCTTCTGCGTCGCAGGCAGTCTCTCTACAACTGCGCTACACTCGCTGTCCTTTATAGTTCGTACGTAACGTCTGACAAAAACATTCGTATTTAGTAAATAGATCTCAAAGGACGTAACGACGGTTATCTACTCAAAGCATCCCTAGTGCGAGGCTGGCCAGCCACCGGACGGATTTGGTTCCGTGAAACTAATCAGGCTAAATAAGTAAATTGACGAGAGCCGCCACTCGACACGCGATCTCGACCCGTTCGGATTCCAAATAAGTACGTTTTTGAATATGGATTGTGTCTGGCCAGTGTCTTCTGACTGACTATGATGACTACCAGTTTCTAGATTTCAGAAGTTTGCTGCGTTGAATTCAGACACTGGTTTCAGCAAACTTAGTTGTGGTAGCTTTCAGAAAGTTTTTATCCCGCCGCGCCCGAGCCGCGTTTAGAGTAGGAACACAAATTGTTATAAAAAAGAGAAAATTTTGCATTAGAACTTTTCCTTTTTTTAAGTTTGAATTAGAATGTGACTTTCTTAAAGAGAATCTTGTAAATTCCTACTGAGAAATAAATTATTGAATTTGAATTTGTCGTTTCAATCAGACTTTTTTATGCGCTCAGAATGGCTATCAGCTGATATGACTAAAATTACGCAATGGTTGATCAGACAATCCGTGGATTGGGCATTGTTGATGATGATGATCTTTCATACCAAACCATAAACATTTCAGATGAGAAATCCACAAACCGCATGATTTTGCGGTAGTTCACCGGACTGAATGCGATTTCGTGACAGTAATAAAAAAACTACATAATCACACATGGCTTTAATACGCTGCTGCCCACATTCTCGTAAAAGCTAATAATATCCTGCGGTTATTTAGAAGAGCTTTGGCAAAATATTCGTAAATATTTCTGAAATATTTTTACATTTCTCCCCAATGTACCTAGATAGATCTGCTGACCTATTGTGTATTGTTCTGTATGTTATGTTCTTTGTGATTATACTTAGTTAGGTTACCTACGTTATTGCTTCGAGTGCTAAGCGCGCCACATCTAAAAAGTTTAACGAAGAATGGCGCAAAAGACTGCTGAAAATGACGTTCATTCTTAATTTGATGATATATTGCCATTGAAAACCCCTACTGAGATTTTTCATCAATGTCTAATAATGAAAACAGAAATTGTTTTTTTGGGTGTTGTACCTATGTAAAGTCGCTCACGCTTATCTACTCATGAACAATTTTGTTTTTAAGGTTTCGATTTTCTTGTGATCACATCGGACATAAACTATGTTGTACGATTTTGTAAACGTTACTGCAATTAGAAAAGTTACAATTATTGCTGTAAAATGTTACAATCACAATAAAATCTAAACCTAAAATTTTGGATTGTTTATGAGTGAGCCGGAGACCAGATTTCAAAATTCTTTTACCACTAGCAGAAAGCAAAGTTGGTCTTGTGTTATTGCTAATTTTGACTACTATACGGGTCGCTACGGGAAAATATCATATTCCTGCTGTAAAGCAGCTAGCAGCGCATGAATATGCAAGCAGGTATAATAATATATTGGTGTCTACAATAATGCTTACAAACATATAGGTATCTCATGCCTAAGTATATCTCTTTCGGGGTAAAGGCTATTTACTCCAAGCCCGACAATAGTTTGAGAGCTGTTCAAAAGACTATGTATCACCATAGTAGCAGGTTGTGAACTCTCAAATCCCTTAGTCACTTCTTACGACATCCACGGAAAAGATATAGGGTGATGCTATTCTAATCCAGCACCGCACGGGAAATAATTAATTATTCTATTGCACAATAATTATCATAGATGAAAGATTATTTAGTAATTAGAGCCTGTAGGTATTAACTATATCCATAACGAGCGTTTAATAGGGCAGCAGTGAAATTATGGCTTAATAAAGCGCGGTCAAGTAATACTGAAAATACAGCTCATAGGAAACGTGTCATAATTATCTTTATTATTACAAAGCATAATAAAAATATTGAATGTCTATTTTCGAAGCATGTCCCACAACGTACTTGAATACAAATACAAAAACTAACTACTATTAACTGTTTTTTATCAACTGTTTTTTACGTTTTTTATACGCCTGGTCTTATCAATTTCAGTAGTGATTTTTGAAGACTACTTAGGTATCACATTTACCACACACATAATCATATCATGCCTTTATGCTTTGTGGGTAAGCAGAAGATTAACGCCTAAAAAACACGATCGATACCACCATGTCTGACAAAATATTCAAATATAAAAAAATAGTGCATCAATATAGTGATAATTGGATAGCATGTTGCTTAAAATTAAAACATCTACCCACATGTAAAACCCTCTAATCCCAATTTTCCTCTTACCACACTCACAGAGAAATGTGACGATATTATTATAATCTGAGTATCACATTTACCAACCTCTTCATGATGACATGACGTAAAAAAATACTCTCGTATGGGAGCAGTAAACAGCAACGCAATATAATATTGGCAAAAATATTTATTTTAGGCATTACCTAATTGTACAATACTGTAATCGCAACATCAAAATACACGTTACGTAAATGTGACATGGTGTTTATTTGACGTTGAAGGTTGTTGGGTTTCGCATTTTGTCAACGATACAGAACAAAGATCAAACAGTACTTGCCTAGCGTGTATAGCATATTTTTTAATGTTTATATAAAGAGTAGGTAAGTAAGTGTCGGTGGTTCGTAGTAAATCACCAGTAGCTCGTGTATGTGTCGTACTGGCTTCAAGTATAAAATTATTAATTGCATGTTCTGCGTTTGCGCCGTTACTAAGTAAGTGAATTACAACTATCGATGCGTTTAACAATAATTGTATTCTACTGGGCACGATGTTTTTTTAACCACATTACGTGTTTCTCTTTTAGGTAGTACTAGTGTCTATAGTAGGTCTGCACTATAACATTATCTACATGAAATTATACGATGTAAGTTGTGGCTACATGCAAGTATGCACGCAGTGCTTTCCATTTATAAGAAAGAACTGTTAATTTCCACTTTAGTGTAAAAGAAACTAATGTTGAACCCATAAACCCAAGTGAATTTATTCTTCTAAAGGAAATCAATGGCAATTTTTTAACTTAGGTATTCAAATAACTAAGTTCAGAAACACACATGCATAGCAGTCCCGTTTGTTATTATTATTTATATTATTTTTGCGCTGCCTAAAAAATGGTTTAGGACCAAACGAATTTCGACCTGATTCCCATACAAATACGGTTAATGTCAAACCGATTGACGCAAACAGTATTTGTATGAAAATAATGAACAAAATCGCATTTCACTAACGCATGAGAATGTGATGTGCTAAAATAATGCACTGACGGAAGTTACCTCTGTTATTATTTGTGTTCCCTCCCTCCCGCCTATTTAAGAACATTTTTTTAACTAAACCGATAGCGAAAATGCTAACTCAAATCAGCTGATCGGCAATTTTTTATGGGAGGTCCAAGTATTTTTTTTTCATACTTTACCTATGTTCCTTGGGGAAAGTCCTTATCACCAGCCCATCCCGCATATTCACCCTATGATTCTTGGTTGATCAGAATAACTCTTAGAAAGATATGGAAGCTATGTACCTACCTAGTCTAACTTTATAGGCAAGGTAAGTAAATGTATAACAATTAAGTAGGTTTATGATGATTAAAATATGATTTTACAGTAAAATTTTGTAGATTTAAATCTGTAGGCATAAATAGGTAATACTTATTTTTTCCGTTTTTAGTTGGAGAAAACCTACAAACTTGAGCCGGCGGGAAAATGTAGAGACGCATCTGATCCATTATTTATATATGAATATAAACTTACTTTTTGTGATTATTATTAACGAAATTATTATGGGCTATTGTGTAATAAAGAGCTACTTTTTAATAACTTTAAATTAACCACGCATACCAATACGAAATATACATAATTGTACGCAACAAGCATCTGTCATTGTTCGTATTGCAACTTACAAGTATGGCAAGCAGTAAAACGAAAGAAATAAATATATTAATTTGAAGACACTTCAATGAGCATAGCATAGCCTTTTATCATAATTTAACATTAAAATTAATATTGGAAGCGAATTGCACTAGCACCTGCCTTGTATACACGCAATTGTACAAACCTAATCAATATCTTAATTATATCAATTTTTATTATCCGACGCTATTATGTCCAGTGAAGCTTTTTAATGGGTACTTATATTATAATTGTGCGACATATTTAAGTATTTCGAGTTGGAGTCTTAGTTTTTCTTGCCATCATCGATGAGAATTCGCAATATCATCTAATACGGAATCGATACAAAAGTTTTATGGCCGTAACTGAGATTGGCAAAATAGCAGCTACTTAAGTACTTACCTGTTGTAATAATATATGTTTTTTAGAGCTTTGTCGTGTTTATCAGTCGCCATATCAAAGAGTTTGTACTTAGCAGGGTGCTCCACATTATTCCCCACCCTGAGACCGTTATACGGGCGATAAAAGATGGGGAAGTGTACATGACGTCCGGATCTTGTGACTGTGGTCTTCTGGCTGATGGCGGGTGAAGATGATGTTTCAGGATTCGGATCACCGCTATTTGGATCAGCCAAAATATATGCGGGCTTGAGTCTGTCTATTGAAACAGTTGTAGTTTTATTGTTGACTTGAATTTTGAATGCTTTTGCGCCTCTTTCCAAAACTTTGTGCGGGCCTGTATAAACTGGCTGTAAAGGCCGTCTGACAGCATCATCTCTCAAGAATACGAATTCAGATGTGGCTAAGTCTTTGAAAACGACGATAGATTTTTTGTCTTGATGGGACGCTGACATAGGTTTAAGTTTGGCTGTCAAGGCACGCAACCTGGTGATATAATCTGATGGGTCGGGTAGAGCGTCTTGCTGCGGGTTGAAGAACTCGTTTGGGAGACGTAGTGGCTCTCCGTACAGCAGCTCTGCAGATGACGCTTGCAAGTCTCGCTTCCAGGCACTGCGTATTCCAAGCAGAACGAGTGGAAGGGACTCTGTCCAGTTCTGGTCAG